AGCGCCAGCGACAAGAGTGTGTCATATTCGTAATCAGGATGTTAAACTACCCCTATATACAAGTTTTAGCGTTGGTGACTTAGGCAATTTGAAAATGAGCTCGGTGTCGAAAATTCTGGAGTCCAAACGGCATTAGCCGCTTGCAGGTAGGACTACCATGTCCAAAAAAGCATTTAAACATTGAAAAAACGGGGACGCCCTTCAACACCCATACAAAGTGGCCAAAACATTGTGAAAGTTTCGGCTGAACGAACGCACTTATCTTCACTTAGGAGAAATGAACACAGGGTTATCTAGAGAAGTTAATAATAATCGAGGCTTCTCAAGGTTATCAACCCAGTCCGAGGAACACTCCCACTAAGTATTGACGCTGATAAAACCTCTTAGGTATCACAGCATAGCTCTGCAGCCTTCCGCTCTCTACCAATACAAATTATAAACAGCCTTCTCTAACTAGAGGACTTGACATGCGAAAACAGTTCAAAAATGAGAGCTCACCTGGAATGTTCTTGGCTTTTTCGGAAGACCCGTAGATTGTACATTCGAACGCATAACTTCATTGCGAATACTGAATAGCAAGAATTCAAAAGTCAAGTAAAGGTTAAAAAAAGAAGCTACAGGAAAAGAAACTAGTTCAGCTCATAAAGGGAAAAAGTTCAGCTCATAAAGGGAAAACTGACCTTAGAAATTCGGATTCGAAATGACGGAATGACTCCTGCCCATACTGGTACAGAATCTGAAAAAAACTGACCTGGAGCATTCATCGAGCCTCTATTTGCGAGCACACTCCCGTCGTCTCAGTGTGCAGCGCTCAAGGAGGAAGGAGGCAATAAAAAAGACACTCCACCCAGGGTGTGGATCATTGAGGTTTCCTCCGCACAATGAGGGAAGGTACATTTGTCACATGGTTTAGTGTTCCTAAGACGTTTTTCTATAAGCACAAGCAGCTCAGCGTCCACAATTACGAGGTGAAGCCAGCCCCATCTTGCCTGAGCTCAAGTGAGCCCACAGTTATCGCGTCAGTCTAGAGCAACTGTTCAATCTCCACAGTTGAGCCACTTGTGTACAGATTTCCAGAGAATGCCGCCATCACAGTGAAAGACACCAGCAGCCGCGCTTTTTTTGCAAAGTCGCTATGGATCATGAAATGATTCTCGGCTAAGCCATGTTGGACGTGAAGCGCTCTACTAAACTGGGCAACTAAATTGTATGGTCAGGAAAACAAGCCATATACAGCACCTCGAAGCACGCGTAAAACTGAGTGCGTAGGAGCAGCGAGAGGGTCTCACAACTGAGCTTCTTCCCCATCCTCATGCGTGCGCAAGAAACCAGGCCAATAAACTTGGGTAATATTACTCTTTGCCCAACTACGTGAATTCACGGAGACGACACATTTGATTTCACGCGTACTTTCGTGGAGGGGGGGGGTACTGTGTACCGCCTGCTTTCCTGAACTTATAATCTTGTTCCCGGGCGCGCAGGCTTGAACAATGTGTTCTCAGGTTTGACAAAGGTATTACACGGATTGAGACCAAGGATGTACATGCTAGGGGCATCCACTCCCGTCGTTCCAGTGCGAAAAAAGGGCTTGGGGTACTTACCACTTGCGAAATGTTTTTTTATGACGCCCACCCCCCCCCTCCTCACCTACTACATCAAAAAAACAAGTTGTGCCCGACATTTTATCGCTTTGCGAAACTACTGCTGTACAAACCAAACTAGATAAATCGATTATACAAAACTCATAACAGCTCAATATGAAGGCAAACACACCTGCTTATTTAACAGAACATTCTTGTACATATCACGAAACTTTTGACGGACGTCAGAGAGCAACTTGTCCGTGTATGAGAGTTGTATTGCAGATTGATAAATAACCTCAAGGAGAGAAATTGAACTGAACTTTCGAAAATACCGCATCACTGCATGGCAAAAATAATAAATGGAGCAGAATAGCAGACCAGAACTTACAACAAAGACCAGCTCGAACTCATTATCGAGCATGAACTTGATGGTCATGTCGTTGTACTTGTACTGTGTAACAGCACGCTCCTGAGCAATATAAATTTGAGGTAGAAACCAGGTGAAATGAGTGAAAAACAAACGGAGTAACCTGTATTAGAACGTCCTTCACAAAGGCATTGATCGCTTCGACGAAACGCTCGGCACCTTCCTGAAAGGTTCAGATTCTGTTTTTTCTTTTTATAAGCGAGCGTTTGCCTGAATTAAGTCCTTTGTTCTGCTTGAAGGCACATCCCACGTTCATCTGATAGTCTTCTTTGAGCATGGTTCCCATCCGCGAGCATAAAGGATGCATTACTTTCGCAGCTCAAAAATACACGAGGAAAGCAAAACTAAACCGCTACCCGACGGTGCGTTCATTTCGCTACTATCCCTCTTCCTTCCTAATGGTGAGGGTGAGAAGATGAAGAGATGTCAGCAACAAGTGAGAACTGAGAACGTCCAACCGCGCCCTTTATTCGCCACATACACGTACACAGCTGTTCATCACAGGGTTCTAAATGGGATTTTACGAGAGGGTCTTTCTGCTTTTTTCTTTTTTTCATATATCTTACCATCTACATTTAGTCAATAGTATTTGAGCCACGAATCCCACCATTTTTGAACCCGGAACGTGCCTCGGAGTTTCACGGGTAGTTTATCGCGTAATAAGAAAAAAACTCAGAAAGAAACTAAGTTTTTTTATCAGGATCTGCACTAGCATCTGCTCATGACTTCAGGACTTTATCTAGGCCAATTTCAGTGCGAATCGAATCCGGATTGCCATTCATTATTCTCCTAGCCCCTTCTCTCAGGGCTCAGACAAGCTTTCATCAGCACTCAATGCGTCCAGCATAAGAGGGTAGCTGTGGTAAGATGTTATTATGTCATCCCATAAACTGGCCGCTACATATAGAGGAATGGCAGAAAAGCAAAGGGGATAGAGCAGCGGGCTACTATACCATTTGGAAGCTAGTACCTTAAGCTGTGTATCTGTGAAATTTGGCGAACCTAGCCCTTTTCAATTTCTCGAAAAGAAGTTCTCGAGCCCGAGTTGAAAAAAGCCCGAGTGGTGAAAATCGGCGCCGGTTTTTCAAATCAGACGTCATAAGAGGAAAGTGCGCCGCTCAAATTTGACCTGCGCCGGACCATAGTTGTGTAAGGGTGTTCTCGAAATACACGGTGGAAGATTTGGTTCAGGAGCCCGTACAAGGAAGAAAGGAAAAAATTTGTTGTCGTGGATGGTCCCATAATATTCATCCTGCACAAGAAAAAAGGATGAAGTCAGGCACTGAATATCTGATCACAGAGCCTGGACCTTTGTCGGGTTTCCCCGCGAGACTGTCATCCCTGCTCAGTTACTGTACGTGTTATGACCGATAAACTGAGGATGGTCAAGGATTTTCTTATAGAAGCACGAACGCAGTACCGATTCTATACCTCTAGCAGTAATGTTCTCAGCATGAGATGTCACTCACAACTGTGAAAACGCACCCAGGCCTTAGATGAAATATGGGTGGTCTCGGACCTCGAGCCGAAACTCACAATCGTCAATTTTGTATGAATGCAGATGAGAAGCCGCCCGAGTTCTACCATGAAGAGTTACGTGGGCGCAAGTGGATGATCATCATAGCAAAGGATTCCCACACTGTGGCTTTCAAGCGGCTCTATACAGAGAACAAATCCGTCTGCATATTGCCTGTTCCTCGGCATTCAGATCGACAAATGGATGCTACCAACTACAAGAAGGCCACCGTTACTTGTCATAGTGCCAGACCAAGAGTAACTGTATTGTAGGGCAGTGCTGGGACACAAACAATACTGAGACCTGGGTTCAATCGCCCCATTCGCCCATCATAAAGCCCGATTACAACTGTTCTATTCAGTTGAGAGTACTCTCCGACGGCAGACGCTACAATGTTTTGTCATTTGCCGAAATTGGCAACAACAGCAATTTACTCCACACTTGTTGAAAAAGGTACCAGAGGTCCAAAGGCCCTCGGGGCACTGGGAGCGGGTCATTGGTGAAGGAGGGATTTACTCATCCTAAAGCTAAAATATCACTTTTCTATTATTCTCCTCTTTGTTTTATAAAAAAAACCAGCGGCCAGTTTGAATGGGATGACCTAATATTTTCTCGTTAATGGCATTCCATAAGACGTGGCAGCATTGGCTAACTGGACTGCGGACCCGTATTGCACTAGCGCTTTAGTTTCTCGTGTACTCATCGAATGAAGAGCGGTAACTATTTTGGCCCGTAGGTAATGACATTTTTTAGATAATTTGCTATATGAAAAGTGAGGATCGTTTTCAATATGTTCTATACTGTTCGATAGATAATTTTCCGCTCTATGAGACAGTGCAGTTGCCTTCCTACTATTCCTTGATTTGTCACTGAAATAAAGTGTGGGGTCGACCCAAAAGTGAGTTTTCGACAACAAGTTTTTGCATGTGCACTGCCTGTGATAGAGATGACCAAAAAACGGTGCTTTTTAGTTCAGCTTAAATTTGTTCAAGCGATCAAGAGCTGGGAGTTCGGACCACATAAATATGCATCGCATGGGGGGGCCTCCTGGTAGCCTGCAGAACCTACCCACTCATTTTCGAACGCCTGCATTCCACGACCTCTAACAGTTTCTCATTCCTTTGCATAAATCTCCACGAATAAGGTGATCCAGTAAGCTTGCAGTGGATTCAACAGGGCATTAGGTTCGATGCTTGTCCGTGAGGTCGTTGAAATGTATAACTCAAACTGTTGTGTTGTAAACATTCCTAAGAGAATGGCCGCTTGACCATACTTTTAGTAACTGGGCATGTGCGGTTTTAGCTTTTTAATTAGAGGTAAAAAGGAGGAGTTGTCGAAAATGCCCGAACTCGTCGACTTTGACAGTCCAGTTTTCTTGAATATCAGACGTAAGAGAAGCTACAAAGAAACTAAGGGGACTGCCGTATAGTGTGAAGAATTCTCTGCAGAACAGTAGAGAACGCAGTGGCGAAACTTTTCGTTTTTAGTGCGAAATTTCGAGTAAGAAAAAAAACGCCATTACTTAGGGGGCGACCCAATATTTACAAAAACGCAAAACAAAAATGTACTTCACGCCTAACCCAGTAGTGGGCAAATATAAACACCCTGCATTTATAACTGCATATTCGATTAAGCAACATACCTGGAACGCCCATAAGCCGAAGCCACCTTTTGTGAAAATAGCAAAAAGTTCAATCATTTAGGAAGGGCCTGCTGAAAGAGAAATTTCAGATATTTCACTAATTTTTCAACCAAAATTCACGGCACAACTGTGAAGATACCAAATCCATAGCGCTCAGAGCACAACGAATTAACGTAAAATGCAACATTTACAACACTTGTAGCGAAAGGGCAATGAGTTGGAATTTCACACGAGGCAAGAGGGATACGGTCAAAGCGAGCATTGTGACTACACACATTGCACGGCAATTTACGACATGGAGTGGAACTCATTTCTGGAAAGACTTTCATATTGATGGTTTGTGTAGGAATCACTTTGGCGTTGGCAGACTCCTATCGTGGACAGAATGGTAAATGGCCCAGTTCCAAGAGGAGGGGCTGCTCTGGCGCCAACAACGACAACGCGAAACATTCACGACAAAGATGCTCAAGGGGCTGGTTTCCTCACATCGCAGCTCCTTCCTTCAGAGGCCTGAGCTGAAACCTCACCTGCTCAGTTTGTGGCGGTTTCTCCGTGTCTTTATTCAGAACCCCAGCCCCACCCGAGCTCTTTTTGACCTTACTTGAAATTCCTCGCCTACGTAAAGGGCAAGGGATAACCTGTAGAAGAACCGAGAAGGTTGAAACAAGCTTAACAGGGTGCAAAGAATCCAGTAAGGCAGCAGTATAAATGTTGTAATTCGGGACTTCCGAGTACAGCACCACGCGCAAAGTAGCGTTCCTGCATAACTACGGCGTTGGTAGAGAAGTTCGCTCACAAAGGACTCGAGATATAAAAATTACAGCCAAACAAAGCGGATACCGCTGTGAGTGTGGTGACCTCCTGGAGCACGCGGCCGTTTGCGAATTTTTTTCGGTGCCGAGAAACTCGTGCGGGCCTGTGTTAGTGAGACCTTGTTTTTTCGCTCATTGTCAGGCCGAAAGGGACTTTTTCCGGATCTATTGACCCATATAGAAGCTGGATAGTGCGTACTCTGTGATAGCAATGAACCAGGTCCTGTTTTACTCTCCCACAATGCAGAGCCACCAACCTCTTGTTCTTGGAAATCACTGAGTCGTTGAAGAAGATGCCTTTCTGTAGGTGGTCTGTTCGTAATGGAAGGAAAAGTCCACACTAGTCTGGCTCCTGTTCACTCCAATCAAATCCAACAAGTGTTCAACGCACTCTAAGAAAAAACGACCAAGACGATCAATCTTGTACCAACCGCTTTTCGCGGCGAGTCGAAATATGACTGTTGTGGACACCTCCCGACACTCGTCAAACAATGCCAGGGTTCAGAAGACTTTAGGTTGCTCATACATGACGTTCCTCAGAATTTGCGTCTTCTTAATGCCGGCTACGCTGGTCGCTGAGTAACACAGGCGCTTAAAAGAATTAAAATAAAGATGACCTCGAAATGAGGGTCAATTTCTTCTATGATTCACAGGCCTGATTTCTTCAAAAGAAAGCAACACTATTATACAAAAGGTAGAAAGAAGCCATTGATAGCTTCAATGAATATATCTGAGATTGAAAATTCAGAACAAGTCGGTTTCTAGACGTGCGAAGCCTAAGATTGACTCGCAGTATAATCTGGCGTTGAGTCAAGTATGTACATTCCTCATCCCTGAAACAGAATAGGCGTGACATCTGAGCATGGCATAGGTTGTTTTACTCGTGGAATATTTCAATATGAGACAGCTGTTTTCTTGTTCTGAAATGGACTAAAACTTGATTACAACGGTCCTTAAAAAAACTTACACAAACCCTTGCCCGCTGCCAGTTCAGTTCAAGTATGCAGCCTCTTGAGTGTATGTTATAGCAGCCTACTTTTATTTTACGGGGCGACAATATCGATGGGTTATTGTGTTCTGTTCTTGTAATCCAGCAGACCCCGCACTCTCTTTGAATATAGATGACCCTTGCAAGTTGCGGTATTATTTGACGACAGTTGCTGCGCAACAGCTGCTGGTTATGACCTCGACGAAACTAATGGTGAGAGGCACACCCAGATATATGCAGCATTCTACTATTGAGCGTTCTACGACGTGCTCTACTGCTGTATTTCTTCGCATTCTTTTGCTGAGCATTTTACTGCACTGAGCGTTTTAGAATAAGAATAGAGCAGCTGTTCTATCCTTATTCTATTCTGATCTGTATTCTATTCTATTCTATTCTATTCTATTCTATTCTATTCTATTCTATTCTATTCTACTATTCTATTCTATTCATTCTATTCTACTCTATTCTATTCTATTTAGTCATTATATTTTATTAATGAATACCCTGTTATAGCCTAGTCCATTCCATTCTGACACTCGTTTATACCTACCACAAAAGGAAACAATTAGCCTACAAGCGGTGGTACCGCTTACCAGGGGGAAGGGTTACAACGTGGTAAAACTGTTACAGGTCCCTACCGGGATGCGTACAATTCACTGACATCCATATGAAATATCCCACTAGGCTAGCAAATCAAGATTTTGCTTTCAATGCTTTCATATATTCCATTCCTAACTTGCGAAAAATTTCTACAGATATTTATCCCATTTAAAAACATTTAACTATGTGGAACCTTCTTTGAGACAAGTCAATTCCCGCACCCACGTTACGACAGGCATTACAACGGCTATGGGCGAAGCATGGGAATCGGAGGTGTCATATGGATGATGGCTTACATCAGAGATCCTCGACCCGATCTCGTCTGGCGGAGCCACCCACGCCGACTCGCTGGATGATGACGCATCATGGAAAGGCTACTTAAGAGCCGCTCACGGAGAGAGAGGAGTTATCTACCCCTGGCTGGCAGCAGCCTCCGACTGGCCGCTGGCCTTGCCCTGCTTTGTCCTTCCTACCTTGCTTCCCTGTGTTCATGCTTAATACGAATAAACATATATAAAAACTGATGTTCTTATTCTATACCGCTACACCCATCGGATGAAGGCCCGTACACCCTTCAATCTGATATGGAGGTCCCGGGGAGATCTTTTTTTGGTAACTACTAGTAGTTTCTTTCCTGAACGGGGGAATAGTACCTAACATTTTTCCCCTCCCTCTTTAACTATTAATTTTCGCCACCACTGGGAACCAAACCTCATGAACCCCCATTACAGTGCGTTCGGCACCGTAGAAACGTTTCACTACACGGTCCAGGCGACGAGTCACCTTCAGGATATATAACGCCAGAAAACTAATTTACAATAGTACTTATTTTGCAGGAAAATTTAGGCCATTTTACTCAGCATTTAAGCTACGCCAAGTCCTTACATTTCCTTACATTGACAGCCAAATCAATTCTTATATTGACAGCAATCAATTCTTGTATTGACAGCCAAACCATGATTATAGCCATTTTGAATATGAATATAAAAACCATGATAGCCATTTTAAATATGAATATGAAAAAGAATCAAGAAATCATAAGAAAATATAATGAATTAAGTAAAACTTTAGGACCCGATCGCCATAAAGTCGACTAGAAAACAAATCAAAAGAAGGAAGTCATTAGTAACCCTTCCTATCTTTATGCATGCACTACATAGAGTTATATTAACTCCAGCTCTGGGACACCAGAGATCACTTCTTTCGCAAGATTTCGCGTTACAGTGGCGCATTACACTGATCTAATCCGCGAATTACACTCATCTAATCCGCGGTACCTGAACTGCCCTCGCACTAGCGAGCAAATCTGTCGTGTCCTCGCGGAATGGTCAAGGCGCGCGGGTGCCACCAGCCGTGCCTCCCCGACTCACGATGGATGTTACAACGCCTACGGACGAAGGATGGATACTGGACGAGTCAGTCGTCTGCCTACACTCCCCCTCGGCTGCCCCTCAATACCCTCTCTATTCTATGTATATATAACTAATAAATATGTATAGCCCACATGTTTCTATGACTACATACCACTGCTACACATCATGTATAGGCGTCCGGAACCTATAACATGATATGGAGGTCCCGGGTAGTTTAACTAATTCCATGGAATGTTTTTTTTAAATAATCTCTCAACCTTTCCATATCCTCAGGGGCTTTTGAAAAATGGGCTAAAAATTATATCACCCTCCCCTCCTCTTTTCCCTCTAACACATTCTTCGTCTTGATGAAGGCCAAGTCAAATGAAGAACCTTTGGAGACCGATCGACTCAATACAGGTATGTAATTAACTTCTTATTCATTTATTAAAAAAAAAAAAAAGAGTGTAGAAGGAGAGAGCTACTCCTTCCCTCACAACGGGTTATCGTGCATGTAGTTGCACTCCTTCATTAAGCCATAGGTGGCAATGCATGATAATGCATTGACAATATGTTTATTCAACGGTCCTGGCGACGAGTTCCCTTTCTCACGGCTCACCTATTATCTAACCAGTAGAATTTATTGCATCATTACTGTAACTGGCGGTTACAGTATTGATATTTACGTCGAATAGATACAATACTGGGTACACCCTTTTATCGTGTTGGAGCTTTATCTCACTGATGAAGGGAAGTAACATTCCTTCAGTCACTGAGGGCTCACGTTATTATTTTCAATCAGATGATATCGAGAGGGCGTCTCGATGTTACTGCTGCGTTCACGGGTCAATACGCGATAATGCGTGCTCATTAAAGGGTCCATTATAGGCGGTCCCTCTTCCTTATTTTAATCGATTGCGTTAACCATGTAGACTAGTTGGATGTGTTATTTTTAATCGATTGTGATTAACCATGTAAGACTAGTTGGATGGGTATGTGACAAGAGAATTCCTTATTCATCGCTTGTCATATGGATGAGCCCGACCGAAAACCATCGTGGCCGACTTATGCTGACGAAGCCACCCACGTCGATGATGCAAGCACGGAGAAGCTATTTAAGAGCCGCTCTCGGTGAGAGAGCATGTTGTTGATATCTCCGGCTGGTAGCAGCCTGTGGCTGGCTACTGGCTCTGCCACCTATTCCTTCCTGTTTCCCTTTCCTACCTATGCTCTGATGTAATACGAATAAATATATATAAAAACCTATGTTCTTATTCCTAACCGCTACACCCATCGGATGAAGGC